CCACAAGAAGCTAGGAAGAAGCTAAAGAAGATTCTTTCCTAGAGCCTTCAGGGAGAGCTTGGCCCTGCCAAATGTAAACTTCCAGCCTCTATAACTGTGAGAACATAGATTCTGGCTTTTTTGAAATAATTATTTATTTAACTTTATTTATTATTATTTTAATTTGACCAGAGAGAGGGAGAGAAAAGGAAAGTGAGAAAGTAAGCCATCAGATCTGGGGCTCCAACCATATCAGCAATGTGGGAGTCCAGCGCCTTTAACTGCCATGCCATTTGCTGGTCCCCGATTCTGTCTTAAGTCACCCAGGTGGTGATAATTTGTTATGGCAGGGCTAGGAAAACAAAACACCAGCCTAGGTCTGCCAAAGCCAAACAACCTCACTCTTCGTCACTGTGATTAGCAGCTTGGGTGCATAGTCCTACACTGTATCCTTCACAATCCACTTATCAAAAGCCTTGTATTTCACTGTAGAAGGCACATGATGCTCCTGGAAATAGAAGTGGGGATGGAGGTTGTATTAGAGAAGTGGAATTATTGCAAGCTAGTGAATGGGTAGGGTTGCTTTCTTGAAAATATGTCCTGACCCTGTCACTAGCAGAGAACAGGAAATAAGTTTGCTAATGAAGGAAACATGATGTCTTAGAAAGCAGAGACTGGGAACTGCAAGGCCTGCTGCAGAGTAGCTCTGTGATTAGTCACATGGCATTTGCATATGGCTGCTTGATCTAGGTAATTTGTCTTAGGAACACAGAGTCATAGCCTGAAAAGTAAAATATAGAACTTACAGCTATAGAAAATTTCCAGGCACCTCATGAGTCCCATGCAACCTCTGATCCTCGGTCCATAACTCCCACTTCTGACACAGAGCACACATAACGTTTTCATTGACTAAATGAGTAAATGAAAGAATACTAAGGCTGGAAGAAGGCTGAAAGTATCAGAAATTAAATGAAACTCAAGAACAGGGGAAGAGTCAGATATAGAGTAAGGAGCATGAAAGAGGTCTCAAAAATCAGAGATGACTACCACTAGCATTTGGTAATCAAAAGCAATAACAGAAGCAAATGTGGCAATATAGCAATATTTGTTAAATCGTGGTAGTGAGCTAGGTGTTTACAACAGCATTTTTTACATTTTGTTGGGTTCAAAATGTTTTATTTATGGGCCAGATGGCAGTGAAGGGTAAAGTCCGATACTCTGAAAGGCAGTCATGGGAAGTTTTCTGGTTAAAGTCTAGAGACCTCCCTGAGTGCTCTGAGCACTTGTGAGCCCATGATCTGGGGGCTGGTTGGAGGCTGGGAGTGGATCACAGCATCAGGACCCTGTTGGGGGTGTTGTCTCTTTCTCACACATACTATCTCTCATAGAATAAATAAATTAAAATAAACTTTAAAAATAGGAAATGTTTCATTTAAAAAGAAGAAGGACTGGACCATTGTCCAGTAGGGGGGAGGGGTGTCACAGTTAATGTCCTTTTAAGTGTTCTGTCTCTCTCTTCTGCTCAGGGAAGAAATACATAAATAAACTTTAAAAATAAAGGGGCTGGCAAGTGGCGTGGTGGTTAAGGGCACTGGACTTCCACATGGCCGACCATGGTTTGAGTCCCAGACCTGGCAGCTTGCTTTCTTACTTTCTCTTTCTCTCTCTCTCTCACTCTCTTCCTCTCTGGTCAAATTAAAATAAGTAAGTGAATAAATTAAATAATTCTTTTTTTAAAAAAACTTACTTTAAAATAAATAAGCAAGAAGGAACAATGGTACAACAGCAACCTCAAATGGCTGCATCAAAATGGGTGCTTCAAACTGGCAGCACTCAGGGCCAGCAGGTGGCGTTAGCGATTGTGGTGGACTTCCACAGGGCCCGCTTCTATTTGAGTCCCAGATCTGCTGGCTTGAAACAGGCTAGGCGTGTATGAGTGTGTGCCCAAAATCCCAAGAGGAGAATGGAAGAGAGAGATTGCAGCATGGCTATCTCCCCTGGGGAATGATTTCTCACTTTCTCTCTGTCAGTTTTCTCCATGTCTCCAGCGAGTGCATGCACACTATAGCAAAAATCTCTCTAAAACAAAAAGCAAACTGGCAGCATTCAAACCATTGGTTTGACTGGTTCCAAATCATCTCTGACATCAGCAGAATGGATATGGGTGTAGTGAGAGTTCATTCCCTCACATATACCAAAACAATTTGTAGAAATAAATAGATATAGAGATATAGATATAGATGAGATAGAGATATACAGATAGATAGATAGAGATATATAAGGATCAGCAGGTGGCCTTTTGGTTAAAGGCGCTGGTCTCCCACATGGCTGACTATGGTTCAAGCCTCGGGCCTGGTGGCTTCCTTTCTCACTTTCTTTCTCTCTGGTCAAATTAAAAAATAATAATAAATAAAGTTAAATAAAACAATTATTTTAAAAAGGATATATATGTGTGTGTGTGTGCGTGTGTGTGTGTGCGTGTGTGTGTGTGAAAAAAAAAACACACAAAATGTTCATTTCCACGGGCTTTGTATTACCACAACTGAAAATTTATGCAGAGGTAATAATAATTCAAAAGTAAGAAAGGACTTACGTGAATGAAAAAATTTTTGACACATCTTTTAGAACATGGAAACTTGGAAACAATCTAAGATGACAATAGGCATGCTCATTACTGCTCCTCCCTGGTCATGCCATCCTGTCTCTGCCTGGATGGTTGCAGTAGCCTCCAGCTGATCCCTCTGCTCTCTCCCTCATCCCTACTGTCTACCCTTACTCAGGGCCAGATCCTTTCAACATGAAGCCAAACTGCTTCCGCTCCTCCCTGGAAAAGGTCCTCACCACCTCTCTGTCACCACCCTGGTGTGAATCACAGTCTCCTGGAGTCTGGACAGCAACAGCAGCTCCCTAACTGGTCTCCACTCTTGCATCTTCCTTCCCCTCAGCCCACAGTGAAAGTGCTCCTCTTCAAATCATAAATCCGATCATGTCACTTCTCTGCTCAGAATCCTCCAGTGGGTTCCCATCTGACTCAGAGCAAACCCATATGACTCAGAACAAAGTTAGAATACACTTTTACAGGGGCACCCCGGAAGTTCATCTCCTTCCCAGTTACCCTGGAGCCTTTTATTATATGTTCCTTCTATTTATAAGGCTCTTTCTCCGTAGGTCCACTAGGTTCCCTCTCACACTTCTTTCAGTGGTAAGTCAAACCACCATTCTTGGTGAGGTCTTCACTGACTGACCTCACTACTTTAAATGTTGCCACTCCAAACAGCCGCATCCTACTTCCCTGTTTATTTTTCTCTCTAAACATTTATTATTTTCTAATGTGCTACATAACTTAAAAGCATTTTTCAAATGTCTACCTCCCTTGCTCCAAATACAACCACACTAGAATATAAATTCCACAGGGAAAGCCATTTTTTTTTATCAGTTTTGCTCACAGCTGTTTTCCAACACCTTGAACAATATCTGGCACATAACTGACGTTCAATAAATATTTGCTAAGGGGAAGGACAGATGGTTAAGTACATCGAGTTATACCAGGATGATGGAAGATTAAACAATCACACACAAAACAACTGTACTTACACTGTGGATCAATGTGGAAGAAGACATATGACATCATGGTCATGGAAAAAGCAGAATTCCTATGTGGTGATCAGAACTACCTTGGTGTGGTTTTGCCAACACTGGGTTTGTTTTGTTTTGTTTTGTTTTGTTTTGTTTCTCCTTGGTTCTTTTGCTTTCCCTTCCCTTACATATTGGGATTCTCAAGTTTACTCTCAGTCCTTTTGTCATTTTTAGCTATCCTTGTAACTTCAAATGCCATCTAGTTTATTTAGCATGTTGTCCGGAGAACAGGACTCCACCTGGACTTTCTCATCCACATTTCTCATGTTGATTTGTAAGTAGGGCTCTTAGAAAATTTCTAGAGTTTGACTGTTAAGGGAGCCACTTCCCACATGGCAGACCAAAAATGAAATAAATCCCTGCTGGGGGCCTTGGAAAACACCTAAATATCCTGACAGATTGCGAACTGAGATGGGATTGTGTGATGATGTGACTACACCCCACTGGGGGTTGCTATTTCTCTCAAGTGTTCACGCCCTCTGGCAATTAGAAAAATAAACTTAGAATACTGTTCTGGGAATAGCTGCTTTTTCATCAGTCTCCTCTAATAAAATGGAAAACTCTACATCATGAGATGTCTAGAATATATTAGTAGGTGCTTAATAAATGCTTTGGTAAAGAAAGATGGAAAATAAATAGAGCATCAGCCGGCAGGCAGCATGGTGGTCAGGGACTCTGGGCTCCCACATGGCCACCCGCTGTTCAAGTCCTGGACCTGGCAGCTTGCTTTCTCACTTTCCCTCTCTCTTCTGTCTCCCCCTCTTCAAATTAAAAAATTAACAAATTCTTAAAAAAAAAAAAAAAAGTAGAGTGTCAAGTGCCTCTAAGAATTTTTCATATACTCCCAGCAGCCCTATCAGTAAGCGTATCTCCATTACACAAAGGAACTGTGATTAACTAGGTGTTAAAATGGTGGAATTATAGGCATTTCTTTTTCCTTCTCGAAAATTGATTTAATATTGTAGTTAAGCTGTTTGTGAGTATATGTGTGTTTATGTGTGGCCAAATAATTTTAAAACCTGAGTAGGCAAACTCTACAGGAAATGGCAGGGCAGGGTCTGGGAAAAGGGGAGGAAGCCCAAGGTGACGACCAGGCAAGCCCGGACTCCACCAAAGTGAGCAGCTCGCGAAGCCTGGGAGTGCCGGCCGGCTGCGTAGTCACCGGCTCCACCCACGGAAACTCCACGGGCAAACCAGCTGCCACTGGCAAACGACAAGTGGGGCGCGGCCTGAGGCCACGCCCACCACTGACGGAGCCACTCTGGACCGGCTTTGTCCGAGGGGCGGAGACAGAATTGGCCCGTAGGCTGGCACCGATTGGCTGATGCAGAGGTGAGGCGGGCTCTGTTGATACACCCGCCTCCCTTGCGGGGTGGCGCCTGCGCCGAAGCAACTGCGAGAGGAAAGGAACTGCTCTCTGAAGTGTGCCTTGTGTTGCGCGGGTCTGCGGCGCCGTTGACCCCAGAGGCGGAGCCGGAAGCGTTACGGGTTGACCCCGGAGCAGTCTGTTCGGAAGGGGCAGCCGTTTTAATCCCCGTCCGCATCGCCTCCCGAATTTCCTCTTCACCTGGAGGCCGAAGCTCCAGACGGGACTAGGCTGTGCAAACCTAGCCCCTGGACCCGGAAGAGGCGCCATCTCCCGCCTCCGCCATGGAGCCCACCGTGCCATCCCTAACGGAAGAAGACCTAACTGAAGTGAAGAAGGACGTGAGTAGTTTAACCTGGCTCAGACGTTGTGGAGGGCTGGGGGCAGGCGGAAGCGAACTGCAGCCCAGCGACAGAGGAAGGCGGAAACGTGAGGTCTAGGGCCCAGGAGGAGTCTTCAGTTCCGAGCTGCTGAAGATCTGGGCTCCGGAGGGCTACGGCGAGCCTTGTGTCCGAGGGACTTAGATGAAGTGATCCCTGCTGTTAGTCTGTTTTAAGTCACGAAATGCAGGGTTGGGGTTTTTGAGACCTTGTCCAGTGGGGCGTGTCTTCGCAGTCAGCTTCTTGCTCACTCCTCACCCATTCCCTCGTGCTCCTCAGCCCTGCTTCCCGCAGCACTCTTGGGGCTGTCTTTTTAGGGGTTTGCAGCCCAGATTTGCCCTTGTGTTAGGCTGCCTGAGCTGCTGTCTCAGCCTCAAGCAAAAGCTGGACCAAGCCTTGGAGCAGGTAATGTGAAACTTCTGCAAAGGGGCCTGGGGAAGCTCAACAGCTGAAAGCACAATCTGGAATTCCCCTAGTAAGCAAACGCCCACATATTTAAATTGGGGAGGGGGGGCGATGAATATATGTAGCTGAGAATTAATTTACAGGTAACTGTTGAAAATAGTACTTACATTGCATTCTTCTACTTGGATGGTGCAGAACTGTACAAACCTTAATATGTGCTTGTAAAGAATGGCTTTGGTGAGGTATGATTTGTGCCTTGCATTTATTTGTTTTGCCAGGTGAGAACTATATGACTACTGCTAAGTTACTTTAATTCAAATTAAAAACAAAACTCAAAGGAAGTGTGTGCTTAATTAACACTGCAGTACTTTTAAAAACAACAGTGTGACCTGGACAGGACAACTTTTTAAATGTCCATTTTCTTCAGATTCCTTCCTCTTCCTTTCCCTGTAAGGGGGATTACACTGTACTCCTAATTACAGCTGGTATGAGTCACTAGCAGAAACTTGTTTCCTCAGTCAGCAGAGATTTATGCAGCGCTTACCATATGAAGAGTGCTGTCCTTGGCCTGGAAGGATGCAAATAATGAAGATCAGTCCTTTCTTTACTTTCTAGTTGAGACAAGACTGAGACACTGGAAACTACAATAACACAGTGTAAATGTTGTCTTGTTGGAGATGAGTCCCAGTAGGACTGTGTGAACTTCAAGAGTGAGGCCTTCTGTGCTCCAGGTGCTATGTCATGTAATTCGCTATGTCCTCCCTAATCTTCTCCATTATTTCCAAGGGAGATAATTGCCATGTCCATTTGATAGCTGATAAAACAGGACGTGAGAGTAGAGGAGTAAGACCTGTACACAATACAGATGCAGAGTGACTTCCAGGTCTTTATTTTTCTTTGAGTTCATTAGTGTTATCTCCAAGATGACAATTTATTCCTGTATCGTTGAGGAAACCATGAAAGGGTTTCAGGAGATCGGTGGAAAAGGGTGTGTGTGTTTTCTTCTAGAGCTTTTTTCCCATGAGTTTTTTAAAATTTTATATTCTTTTTATATTATATTTTCAGAATAAGTTAGGACTTTAGAAAGTTTTTAAATTATCATCTATATATTTCAACTTCTTTCTTCAATTCTAGGCTCTTATTTCCAAATATCTGCTGAAAATCTTCTTTTTTCAATTTTTAAGTGCCTTTCTTTTTTTAATATATAAGAATTATTTGTTTTATTTTATTATTATTATTTTTTAATTTGACCAGAGATAGAAAGGAAAAGTGAGAAAGCAAGCCACCATGTCCGGGTCACATGAGAGTCCAGCACCGTAACCACCACACCACCTGCTGGTCCCGGAAATCTACTTTTATATCTTGCAGATTACTCACCTTGTCAGAAAGTGAACTTCTTATTCCTCTCCCAAAACTGCTTATTATTCCTGCCATATTCTCTGTCTTCATAAATGCTATGCCACCATCTATTCTGTGAACTCCACTGTTTCATTATCTCTTCCTCTCACTTTCCTCCATCTAGTTATTTAGCTCATCTTCTTGGTCAAATATAGTTCAGTGTAATAAAAATGATCTATATGCTGATGTGAGACTGACAGTATGGTTGGTTCTAACCCTTTAAAAATTAAAAATAAAGATACAGTCCTAATTTGAAAAGAGCTCACTTTGTAATTTTGCATTCATCCAAAACACTGCTTGGCACTCTGGTGAGTGCAGGGTATGCAACATTGAACAAAACATACCTGCTCTTGCCTATTTCAAACATACAGTTCTTTAGAGTTGAAAACAAATACATATATAAATGTAAATTATGTTCTCGCGGTGAATGAGATGAGTAGTGCAGAGACAGCAACTGAGAAAATCGACAACATGGAATTGTCGGGGAAAGTCATGTTTAAATCCACTCCTAAAAGATGTGATGGGGCTGTGGGAAGAGCATTGTTAGGCAGAACAGAATTTGGCGAGGACCCAAAACAGGCAAGACTTTGGTGACTTGGGGAAATTGGAAAAAAGCAAAAGGTAATCGAAAGTGAAGCTAGGATGCTGGGCTAGATCCAGTTCATTAGGGGCTTGTATTGTAGATGTAAAGTGTTTAGGGTTTGTTATTGTTGTTGTTTGGGGGTGGGGGGTCTCCCCTGAGGCATAGTGGGAGTTTATTGAATCATAGTGTGTTATTTTTTTTTAAAGATCCCTTTGCCTGTTCAGCGGACTGAGGAAAACATGAGTGAGAGCAGAGAAACCAGTGAGGAGACTCCAGGAATTTAGATAAATGATGAAGGCAACTTTGTTCAGGATGAAGGTAGTAGAAATGGATGGAACAGGAGAATTCTGGATCCATCTTTGAAACAGAAATGATAGGACTTTGAGATGGACTGAATGTGGGAGTTGAGGAAAAGCATAGTATCAGATTAGTAAGTGGAAATGACAATCAATCAAATGTACCAAGTCTGAAAATCACAAGAGAACTAACTAAAAGTGTAAGTGTGAGATTGAAGTAGTTTACCTAGGAAGTTGAGGACTAGAGAATAAAAAGGTTTCAAAACACTTTAAAGAGAAGAGTTTAAGGGTCAATCTTGTAGCCTAGTGATTAAGGGAGCCAGATCCCCCGTGGCTGACAGCAGTTTTGAATCATGGCCTCAAGTGCCTTGAAAAATAGCTGGCACTTGTGCACATATACCAAAAATCCCAACAGGATGGAGAAAATGAAAAGGACCATGCCCTATTAGTTGGTACTCCTCTCTCTCTCTCTCTCTCTCTCTCTCTCTCTCTCTTCCTCCCTCTCTCCCTCTCACCCTCTCTCCCTCTCTCTCTCTCTCTCCCGCTCTCTCTCTCTCTCGCTAGTGCATGTATCCTCTGGCAATTTAAAAAAAAAGTTAAAGGAAGAGAAGAGTGGTGGAGAAGTTATAGACACTGAGACGAAGAAATTTAGGAGAGTGGTTAATTAGAAAAAGTGTCTCGAGGTAGTCAATTGTGTTCATTCTGCTGAGAAGTCAAGTAAGATGAAAACTAGAAACTTAGCTCTCTTTCCCACTGTCCAAGATGACAGGTGAAAAAAACTACAAAGCAGGATGATACTAAGGAGAAGAAATCTGAAGCCCAGAAGGCTGATGCCAGTGGGAAGGTTAAAAAAGAGTGACCCCAAGGCTAAAAGCCCAAGAAGGGGAAGCCCATTGCAGCCGAAACCTCATTCTAGTCCAGGGCATAGGCAGGTACTTCCAGTCTGCCATGTATTCCAGGAAGGCCATGTATAAGAGGAAATACTCGAGAAGAAGCCACGGACCTTCAGGAGAAGGTTCCACATGGCTACAGTGAACTAGATTTTTAAGGGAATGAAGATTTTCTACTAATAATTCAGCCTCCAACAAACGAGCTAGCGGCAGAAGAAGCCACAGGCCTTCAGGAGAAGGTTCCACATGGCTACAGTGAACTAGATTTTTAAGGGAATGAAGATTTTCTACTAATAATTCAGCCTCCAACAAACGAGCTAGCGGCAGAAGAAGCCACAGGCCTTCAGGAGAAGGTTCCACATGGCTACAGTGAACTAGATTTTTAAGGGAATGAAGATTTTCTACTAATAATTCAGCCTCCAACAAACGAGCTAGCGGCAGAAGAAGCCACAGGCCTTCAGGAGAAGGTTCCACATGGCTACAGTGAACTAGATTTTTAAGGGAATGAAGATTTTCTACTAATAATTCAGCCTCCAACAAACGAGCTAGTGGATTAAAATATTCCCCACTATCTACTGAATCTGTGCATCAGCGATCACAATAGAACGGCAAAGAGATTCTAGATCACCCCTACCTGCTTGCTCCTGAACATTAAGGCTGAACTTCAAGAATTTGAAAGAAACACAACATCCATCAGATGACAAGAAATCACCACCGGATCACGAGAAATATGGGAAAACGAGAAAATACCTCTCCTCCAAGGGAAAAGAGTAACTCTTCTTCATCCACAAGCAGTTCGGTGAAAATCATGGAAATGTCTGATAAGGAATTCAGATCATTCATAATGTCTAAGCTAACAGAGATGGAAGAGAAGAGAGATAATGAACTGCTAAAGAGAAAGGAGAAAGAAGTTGACAAGTTCCAGGAGATGAGGAAATTCCTGCAAGATCTAAAAGAGGAATTACACACTTTACAGAAGACTCAAACGGAACTGCTAGAGATGAAGTCTATAATACAAGAAGTAAAAAT